TGTGTGTGTGTGTGTGTGTGCAGCCGAGGCAGAGATGGCCGCTGTGCTTCGGTTTATTGACATCCTAGCCCATTATTTAATTATTTAATTCCCAGACAGATACTAATGGAGCTGGCTAATAGATTGCGGTTGCCTTCCTTTCCTTCCAAAGCCCCCCGAATATATGTATAAATGGAATTAGGCTCGACTCGGCCCGGACACTGGAAGCGGGGGGGAGAAAAAAGCATTGGCGGTGCAATGCGAGGCCCTTAACTCCCCCGAGACCTGGACTCTCTCCTATAGGCACATCAACAGCTAGAAATGCACTTAGGAGCACGTCCAGGCAACCGAGGCATGTCATGCGTTAATTACGTTTGCAGATATCATGGGCGGCTATCAGAATGTGTTGCGTTTGTGTCTTTTTTGACCCCGATGTTGGTTTTTCAAGGAGATCTGGGTCTTAGAAGGTCCCCCCCTCCACACCCTTCTCCACACACTCAGTGATAAGGGGATGAAGAGTGGCGCTGAGGGGGGCTGATGATGCTCAGTGGGGGGAGGTTAACCACCAGATTCCAGTGTTAGTTTGTGTGTTAGAGCCAAGGGAATGATCCTGGCTTTATCATCAAGGCTGTGTGGCTTTATCTGCTCCCACGCTACACACACACACACATTAAACATCCGCCTTAAAGCTGTGCAAATTCTGTTAACTCTACACCCGACTGACCATTTCCCTGCTTTGTTTTTCCTCTGTCTAGGCGACCGTTTGCGTCAGACCGAGAACCGTGCAACCCGCTGTAAGGTGGAGCGTCTGCAGCTGTTGATGCAGCAGAAGCGTCTGCGCAGGAAGGCCAGGCGGGACCAACGCGCTCCTTATCAGTGGCTCCCCAACCGCAAGGCCGGACGCAGCAACAGCAACAGCAGCATGTCCAGCGAGGGCTCCCTGGACCTGGACTTTGACGACTCGGTGTGGAAGCCCGACGTCAAGGCCGACTTGAAGTCCGAGTTCGTCATGGCCTGAACTGCCCCCCGCCGCTCCCGGACGGAGAGATTCAAAGATGTTGCAGAGCATCGCTTGGGATTTACTTAGAGATATATTTTGGAGGAGTGGATTGGCAGGAGGGGACTGCAAAGAGGAAATCAAAGCTGTCTTTGTGACTGACTGTCACATGAAAAAAGAAAAAAAAAAGGCTCCCTGCAGACTTTAATCCCATTCTGTCCTTCACGGTTGACCTTGTGAGAAAACAGCAACAATAGCAAACGAACTATCTTGTGATGCTTGGATTTGGACAGGCAACAACCGGACTTAACAGTGTACAAGACTTTTTTTTTTTTAGGGTATGATTACAGAGACCGTACCTGAACTTGAGCATAGCAGAATTCAGTCGGTGGTGGTGGTGGTATTTTCAGAATTTTTTTTTCTAAGATTGTTTTTTGTTTTTAAAGTGCACTCTGGGCAGAAAATGAAGAGATCCACACTGGACTTATTAACGAGACAGGAGCACCAGAGGCCTCAGTGTTTCCTAATCACAAGAAAAGGCAGAACTGCCGGACTATGGATTATTCCAATGGGCATTCTTATTGATCTCAAAACTCACCAACCAGAGTCCAGTTTTTACCTGTTACGGGGTGGTTAAACCTTTTTTTTTTTTCTTTTTTTCTTTTTCCACTTTTAAACATATTATTATATTTTATAAACAAAAAAAATATGTAGCATTGTTCACAAAGCATTCAGGTTTTCATATTAACAGTTCAAAGTAGTTGTTGATTTGCACATTCTCTTGATTTATAACAGCTGGTCAAAATGTGCAAGAAGGAGGAGGAGGTGGGGCCTGAAATAGAATTAAAAAAAATAAATAAAAATGAATATGGAAGTATTGATATCAACCTCAGTGACATAGGGTATCGATAGGAATGATTAATGAATAAACAAAATGAATTAATATTAACAGAAAGTGCTTTAGAGGATTTTAAAATCTTTAAAATGTATATGGAAAAAAAAAAAATCTATTTTTATTTCTCTTCCTATCTGCTGTTTTCAAAAAACAGCAGCCCTCTGTGGCTTTAGTCAAGTCATTGACTACCAACAAATATGTACATCCATTCAATCATTCATTAGCCGATCCATGAATTATTTCATCTAGCCACAACAAATGATACGGAAAGATCATTTTTTTCATCATAGCCCGCCTCATGTCTTACAGACCTGAATGGACTTGTCGAGGGATTTTTTTTTTTTTGTGTACATAAATGTGACAATTGGCAAACATTTATGAGGGTGTGTGTATGTTTGACTATGTTGTAAATTGATTTAGAATATCCCATGTTCTTTTTGTCACGGTTGTCTTCTCCCAAATAAACCCCATAGTTTCTCGAAAATCATCAGCCGCAGTAAGTGCGTGGGTCACTACTTTCTAGCAGAAAACAATTCCAAGTCGGCTCCCAGTTTGTTTGTTCTTTTTTCTCTTTTTAGGCCCATTTGATCTTTTATCACAAGTCCTCATAATGATGACTCTATTTTTTTACTGGCAAAGAGGGAGAAGGAGAAGTGGGGATCTTTATCCAGCATCATTATCTAGTGCCTCCACCAGTACATCCATTGACATATCAGGTTAGGCCTTTCACAGTTTTTGCTGCTACACATTGGGGGGGACTTACTTCAAATGAAAAGAGGAAAAAAAAAAGAAGAAGAAAAAACAGCAGGAAAGGGAGGATAAAAGTGACTTTTCTTTGCATGCAGAAGTGTGAAATTACACTGATCTTTTTTCTATTTGATGGAAGATATTAAAAAAAAGAAAAAAAGAAACTGGTGCTGTGGGAATGAAGGTTAACAACATGCATGAATTTGTGAAGAAAAATAACACAATGCTGCTTTTGTTTGGTTAGATTTCTTTTTTTTTGTAACCTTTTTTTTTTTTTAATTTTTTGATTTTTCAATGTTAGAACAACTGCTAAAAGTATTAACGACGCAGAAACCAAAACAGATGAAGTCAAAGTGTGCGGACTCACGTTGTTGCTCAGCACTGAACATTCCTGTTGTGTGACAATGAAGATGATGATGATGATGAGCAAAGAGCAACTGACTCTCTCTCTCTCTCTGTCTCTATCTCTGTCTCTCTCTCTCTCTCAACTCCCCCCCCCCAAAAAACGCTGGTTTTTAACCCCCCATGACTCTCAAGGACCCAGACAGCCTAACGAACTGTTTCGCCACCTCCCCTCCTCCCAGCCTGAACGTCAACCAAGAGGCTCATGTGGACGTATTATTCGCACAGGGGAAAAAAAAAAAAAAACCCAACAGACCGGTGGATTTTTACAGCAATGTCCGTCAAACCCCCCACTGGAGAGAAGCGTCTGGTCCGTCTCTTTTGTCTGTCTGTCTGTCTGATCGACCACCCTACCACGATTGCACTCCCAGAGATTGCAGTGAGAGATTACCTTTTTTGGTGAACCTCGTCTTTTTTTTAAGTGGCCTTACCTTTCACTAAAAAAAAATGAGACACTTGGGGACAACTTGGGGCGGGGAGGGCGGGAAACGTTTCTTTGGTTTTTTTCAACAAAAAAAAATTCAATAAAAAATTTCTGTGCGTATCGATGTCGGACTTGTTGTCATCAAAGGCGCCATTTTTTTGTCACTGAGGACACTGGGCATCTGTCGTTTAGTGCTTTTAGCTGGTGGAGTCTCTATTATGTCAAGGCTTCTGTGCCTTAAAAATGTTGCCCTTGCAGTGTCAGTGTCAGATTTTTAAAAAAAGCTTGTTTTCGTCGGTTGATGCACGCGGCTGCCCCGTTCGCGGCCGTCGTAGATTTTTCGGGGTGAAGCTTGTTTGAGCGAATCAAATACTGTTCAAAAGTAGGTGTTGTTCCTCAAATATTGTCTTTGTCCCATTTCTTCATTGTGTTGCCATGCTTGTTGGTCTCTGTTTTTAGAAACCTCACGTCCCTCCTCCCTCCAACACCCCCCCTACAACCAACAAGCTGCAAAAAGCTTCAAATCTGTGTAACTTATGTTAACTGAGGAAGTTTACGCCACAGTACTTAGCGAGAAACAGCCCGATTTCAGAATGAAAAAAAAAAAGAAAAAAAAAAAGGTCCTCTGAGGACTCCAGACTACATGCACTTCCTGTTTCCTTGGGTACAACATTTATTAAAAAGGACAATTGAACCCCTGCCCCTCCCAAATTTTTTTATTTAATTTCTTTTTTTTTTTTTGTATATGTATGAACTATACTCTGTGTGTGCCTCACTTCTGTGTGAAACTCAAAAAGATGAAACAAAACAAAAAAGATGACAAAAAGCATTACAGAGAGGATTAAAAAACAGTATGTTGGTGGAATTCTGATCACGTCATTTAAGTTGCCTGTTCTTTCTTGTAGCCAACTATTGAAAATAACAGGATTCAAGAATACAATTTACAATGTTCTAGCTCTAGACCGGTGTAGCACATGTGTGACTGTATTAATTTATGAAACCAAAATGGTAACTGTGAATTATGTATTTCTTTGTGCATTTTTTTTTTTTTTTTTTAAAGCGGGGGAGAAGGTTTGTCGGGACACGGCAGCAGCCGATGCTCGTGTCCGGGGAGGGGGGGAAACTTTTTTTTTTTTTTTTTTGGTGGAATATAATGGAAGCAAAACGTGTTTCCGAAAAAGAAAAAAAAATGTCAAAAAAAACCCACAACAAAAACAAACAAAAAAAAGAAAACGAAAAAATATATGAATATATTTTTTTTCTTAAGCAATACATTTCAGTGTGACTTGTGATAGAACATTTTTCTTTTTTTTAGGTAATAAATAAATAAATAACAAAATGAGTACATCAGGTTGTCTCCGTGAGTGTTCATTGCGAACCCATTCGATAACGCCGAGTCCTGCTCGGTCTTGTGTTTCGTGTGAGATCTGTTTTCATGAGGTAACTCGATATGGAAAAAGGTGGAGAAGCTCGAGACTGCATTGATAAAATATTGCCTTACATATCAAAAAGCTGATGTAATTGATGATTGGACTGAACCATCTCTGTTGCCTGAGGGGGTGGATAGGGCCTATGACTTCCTTAAAATTTTTTCTTAATTAAACAGAGTATTAAAGTCTAGATTCAGCAGCATTTTGGACTTCTGGCTAACCTGCAACATGTTAGTGAATAGACCCCGGGGCCGTGGGTGTGGGGGTGGAAGGAGCCTGGAGGGAGGCAGGTGGTTCAAGTGAGAGAAGCCCACGGAAATGTTCCCCCACATCTGTGAGCGCCCCGGAGATGAGACGGAATATGGAAGTGGAGTGACAGACTGGAGAAGGAGCCGAGCCTCATGTGAAGCTGCTCCTTGACACATGTACTTACAGCCAAAGGTGTTTTGAAGCAGCACTTGTAGCTCCCCCTGCTTTTGTAACCGCAGCCGAGGCTGAGAACAGAGCTCGGCTCGGGAGCATTAAGAAAAAGCCGGAGAGCAGGAAAAGGAACATGAAAGGACGAGTCTAGTGTATGTCAACGCAGGGGCTCAGTCGGTAACGCAACATACATAGTGCGAGGAGTTGCAATGATGGCAGCAGCTGCTCCTTGTTCTGAGTCGTTGTGGTGACCTTGTGAGTGAGAACGCATTGAAACGATATTTAAGTTAGTTTAAAGATGAGCTCATTTCCACATAAGCACTGAACAAGGCAAAAAGGATCCAACTAGAAAGGATCGAACAGTGAACTACTCAGATTTAACTCATAGATAGATAGATAGATAGATAGATAGATAGATAGATAGATAGATAGATAGATAGATAGATAGATAGATAGATAGATACTTGTTTTTTGGAGTCTATCCCAGCTGACTGAGGTTGAAGGTAGGGGACATCCTGGACAGGTCACCAGTCTATCACAGGGCTACACTTAGAGACAGACAACCAAGCACACTCACATTCACACCTACAGACAATTTAGAATCACCAATTAACCTCAACATGTTTCTGGACTGTGTGGGAGGAAGCTGGAGAACCTAGAGAGAACCCACGCTGCACGGGGAGAACATGCAAACTCCCATTTTTTCATTCTCTTGGTGAAAATTCAAGACATCCAGTTGCTCATGAACATTCAAGAAAAAATAAGAACAAAAGAACATGCAAGCCACATGCAAGTCGTGATGAAGAAATAAGGTGCAAAAATGTGCTAGTGTTTACAATAATGGTGTACAATTGCTGGTATTTACAATAAAAAAAGAGTATTAGTTGTTCACACTTTTGTTGTTATAACGTCCATGGACTAGAAATGTGTCCTCAGGCCTTTTATCATGTCTGGCCTCCCTCCCTCTTCTCCGCACACATGATTCTGGTAATAAAAGCCTCCTACTTAGTGGCCTTCTGATGATAAACAAGCACACCTCCTGTCTGTCCGTGGCCCCGCGGTGCATTCAGGGCCAGCGTGGTTTGATAAAAGAACCCTTTTTGAAGGCAAATACCAATAAGAGCCTCGTTCGTGGAGTCGCTCATCGATAGCCAATCGTCACGCATCACCGTGAAACCGCAGGCTGGGCGCTGAAAAATGGAACAAACTGTTTTTATCAGCTTGGTGCCCATAAGATAAACTCCCAAACTCTCAGGTTGATTTAACTGCCACTTTATTATTCAACCCGGTTTTGACGAGCAGCTTCTTTTCCGCCATTATTTTTAGCACTGAAAGCTTTTTTGGCATTGAGCTGAAGTGAAATCTCAACATAGATATGGACTGAAACAGTGAAATGTGAAGCTTAAATATAAATAATTTGAAGAGATACAGATATGTAATGCATCACTTCTCTATTAATACTTTACCTAAAGTCCCCAACCACCCACCCACAATGCTAAACTCATGGGTGGCCAATGTTGTTATAACCAATAACCATCTCACTGTATAGCCCAATCCAGTAACACGTTCTTTTAATACTTTTCAGATTCCTACTGAGGACCTGTGTATAAATACACTCACCAAACACTTTACGAGAACCCAAACATTCATGCAACTGTCCCGTCGGCCAAACACGTGGCCGCAGTGCAGTACGTAAAATCACGTAGATACAGGTCAAGAGCTTCTGTTAACTTCACTTTTTTGTGTGTTAATCGCCCCATATTTTCACCACCTCAGTTAACAAAGAGTGGTGCAAGAAAAGGAAAACGAGTTGGAATTGGCAGAAAGGGTAACTCTTGAAAACACAACACATCCCACCTTAAGCAGGTTCAGCTACAAGAAATAGGTTCAAATTCGGGCAGCCAAGAGCAGACAGACTCACCAAAATTGCACAGTTGACGTCTAAATAACGTCACCAGATCTTATGAATCTCGATTTCTGCTGAGGTTACTGATGGTAGGCTTAGAATTCAACATCATCTGCATGAATCCATCAACCCAACCTGTCTTGTGTCCACAGTTGAGGCCGGTGCCAGTGAAGATGAACACCAAAGCCTGCCTGAGTTGTTGCATCATCCAACAGCTACTTCCTGCACTTTGTTGCCTCTCTTGGTCACCAGATTCGAATTCACCTCTGCGATGTGGTAAAACTGGAGATTTGCAGCATGAATGTGCGTGATGCAATCGTGTAAACACGGAGCAAAAATCTCAAAGGAATGTTTGCAACATCTTGTGAAATCCACGACACCAAGAAGTCCCGGTATTTGGAGAGCAAAGGGAGGCCCTGCTCGGTGTTACTGCAGTGGTCCTAATAAAGTGCTTGGCGAGGTGTGTGTATATATACAGCAGCTTCATGTTTAGACTTTGCAGTTTTCATTTCAGAAAATGTTGCCTCAAACACTGGCGACTAATTTCGGTGGTGGATGAAAATACATTTCGGTGGTCTGGTGAGTAATTGCGTTCAGCCACATTAAAACCGCTGACAGATGGAGCGATAACATTAATCATCTCAATACAAAGCAGTGATGCGGTGGGAAACTTTGGATCCTGGCATTTGTGTTACTGTCACTTTGATACGTACCACCCACCTCAACACTTTTGCTGACTGAGCGCTCTCCCTTTCTGTATTGACGATTGATTAATAATCAAGGGTTACTTGTGTAAAGAAGAAAAATACATCAGCAGAGCTTTACTTTGGATGCATTATTTTTCGTAATTACGGAAAGCACAGCTCGTCGGGTATCATCTCTTACATAAAGTACAGCTTCAGTGTTTATGGTGACAGACAGGAAGACGTCACCCAATCTAACGGTGCGGTTCACTCGTCTCTTTCTGAGGCTTTTGTCGCGTTCGTTAATAGAATCAGTTGCTTTGCAGCTTTTCATCCGAATGTTTTTCCCCTCTTGATGTGTGAAATTCAAAACAAATTACGGCAGAAAATAGAAAGAAGCTAACTTTTATAATGACAGCGAGGAGAATGTAACCCCTCCATCTGTCAGTTAGGTGAGCCTCAAACGAAAACAAACCACAAGCCAGAATGTTGACACATATTTACAATGACTATCGCAGGTGTAGCTAACAGACTCCTCATACCGATTCTGTGCTCGGCGAACTGTTTACTGAACGCTGATTTGCATTTTACTGGATATAACATGAGCAGCGGCGAACTCACAAAATTCTCATGGCTTCCAGTCATACTGCAACTATCAAGAGCCTCTTCTGAGAAGTCGCTGCCTATTTCTGACTGCATCTGACTGTCAGTCTCTGCCTCCACACCTTTTCTGCAAGCTGGCTGTCGGAGGATGTAACTGTCTTCAGAGATAGAGGGGAGAGAGGCAGACAGAAGAGGAGCGAGAGAGAGAGAGAGAGAGAGAGAGGCTCAGCTGCCACCGCAAACTGAAACCCTGTGGCTCCGGGATTGAGAGGAGTTCCGCAGAGTTGGGGTTTCACACGTTGTTGTGTGATCTAAGATAAGACGCGCTCAGCTGTATCCTTCCCTTCACTTAAAACAGACTCGCGCACACACACACACACACACACACACACACACACACACACACACACAACGGAACATATTCCAGGATGTCACACTGCAAGAAAGAAAGAAAGAATCGCCTATATACTGTCATAATGAAAGTTCAAGCACATATGTGTCCTTATCTGTATTTGTGAGGCTGCCATCTGCATAAACTTGCACTCCAAATCCGTCGTTCAAGAGGCGGATTCCCACGACTTAGATCAAAATTTGAAACCTATGAAGTTGCGAATATTATTTTTGATTAGTTGACACAGTAATGTTGCATCAACTTAATATTGTGTGTTAATTAAACACACAGTTCTGCATTAGTTGGTTTAAAACCAAATTCGAGTTGAGGTGACTGAATGAAATTGTCCTGATGATGTCTGGGCTTTTATGAATAAAACATAGCTGGCCAATTTCAAATGGTTCAAAGGCTTGACAAATGTAAGATGTTTAAAGGCTATTATCATGTCTTAAATTCTAGAAAAGAAATGAGTTTAGGAATATTTTCAGCAGTGATATAACCGACAGTGGATTCATGTACCAAGTTTAGGCCGTACCTGCTAATACAGTTGATGGAATATGTTTTACTAGCTCGCAGCTAATGCTAACCGTATTCAGCTGTGAAATCTAGTCACGCTATCCTTTAGTTTGGCAAACTTGTGGATGAGAATGATTAAGTTCCATTTGACAAATGTGCTCAGACGACTTTTCAGATTTAGTCATCATTGGTAAGAAAACTTAAATTTGTGATTTGATTTGAATGCTGCTTATTGAAATACAAAGAAAATATCAGTAAAGGGTTTACTACCAACAATTGTGTTAATGTGATTCCATTTATTTCCTAAAAGCTACTACATGAACAAAACAAACAACAGTGAAGAAAATCTAATTGGTACAATTTAATTTTTAAAATGTCTGTCAACTTACAAACTTGTGTAA